ACGTGTTGAGTGTGAACACAAAGGGAATTCGAAATGTAATAGAATATGCCGCGTTGCGTTTAAACATTTCACTTGAGACGGCATACTGCGTTTTTTTTATATTTGACATTTGTGGAATAAAGTGCGGAATCCTGAATTTTATAACTTTTGCAGCGTTGTAGTTAGATAAATTTAAAGAGCAAGGCCAACAAGAAATACATCTTTTGCAAGAAACAGCATTGGATCAGATATAAAAATAAAAGTATGCCCCGCAGTTTTCTTCAGGAAACCATAACATTCTGTAAAATGATTATTACATTTCTAATATGTGATAAAACTATAAGGTGTTTTAATGAAAAGTGTTGCATTGTGATACCTTAAAACGTTAGTTGCGTTTGACTTTTGAAATTAAGACATTTAAAATTTAAAATATGAAACCTTAATCTCAGGATACTTCAACACGTCAACAAAATTATTTGCAACTATATTCACGGCCCAATTGTAACATAAAAATTCATTGATACCTTTCAGTGTGTCATTGTATTATGAATAGTGGACACTGGTCCACAAAAAAAGAAAGGATAAAGTAGCAATTTACTCACTGACATACGGAAGTAAGCAATCGAATTAGCCAAACTTTGACATTTCATCAGTCAATTTTCTCATCTCACCAGAAGAGCAATAATTTACTGAGAGACTTGGGATAGCATTTATTTTGGTGAAAACAGTTTAGAAAAGATGAAAACGCGACCTAAAAATGCACTGGCTTAATAACAAGGAACATATACAGAATTGCCTTTAAAGAGGAGTCATCCCCATATCGAAATATTATATAATTTATATTTGAATTTTTCTTGTCGCAGAGTGAAGGAGACAAAATTTGCAGAAAAAAAATTGGAAGACATAATTCATTGGTAATGCCACGTTCCTAGTCTAAAGTGATATCAAAACAATGAGACTTGTCAAAACTTATGTTTCAGGGATGATACTTTACGTACACCGGAAAAGGCAACTCTTGAAGAAAACACGGTTTCTGTAATTTCTCATTTTTACATTTCCCCGACGTCACATTCACCGACATTATATGGTACTAACTTTCTAGTTTCCAGTAACGACGAAACGAGGTACAAGTTCTGAGAAAGCCACCTAACGTTTCTGAAGAAATAGCGAACGTGTTGTCTATTTTTTTCCGTTGTCTACCATAAGAAACATCTTTGGAGAGAGTATATTAGTTAGTGCAATTTCCACATAACGTTTAATAGCAGTACATAGGTAGTACGAGCCTTATTCCTCGTGTTGCAAGACTAAGCGCACAAGCGAGCGCCGCTGGTCGTTGTGCGCATACAAAATGTACCATTTACTCCGTTCAGTAACAAGGGCTCCGACGCACTTTGCCGGCCTTCGAGCAGGGCCGCCCGCCCGCATCGCGTCGATAACCGCGCCTGGGGCGGCGAGCGGTGGCGCAAGAGGCTACGACGCCGCGCCCACAACGCACACTCGCCGCTCCATGCACACTTTAAGTTTATAACGAGAAACATTTTCGATTTCGTTTGTGTCGAACTCCAGCCAGACAACATCCACGCTTTAGGTTTATAACTAGAAGTATTTCCGATTTCGTTTGTGTCGAACCTGGATAAGCGAGAATTCAAGGGTCCGCAAAATATTTTTCGCTTACGGAGGTTTTTCCCTAAACGACTTATGCAAGTACAGTTTTCTCACCTATAAAGGTTTAAATAAATATAGAAAATACATAGTGATAAATATGTATGTCGTAGAGGTATTCTCCCTTAGAATTTGACATAGATGCTAACAAAGGCATAAATGCTAACACTAATATTTATTTTAGGAAATCCGTTAATTTCTTCTGCGTTTCTGTTTCTGATTTTTTTATGTTTTTCCAGTTCATCAATCTGATCAAATATTGTATTATCAACAACCCACCGAGTATGGTGGAGCGTCTCCAGTGCATACAAAGCTTGTTGCTTTGGAATATTCTTTAGTCTTTTATCCAAAATCTGTTATCGGTCGGATTCACCTTCACTGTCGTCTCCGGCACTACGCGTACTCGCACTGTTCTTAACGATATCGTCGTCGATTTGATCTCCAGCGACAGCCACGTCGTCGTCAATCTGTACTCACTTATAGGTTTCTGTTTCTCACTTATAGGAATTTTAGAGGATTACAATGACGGGACCTGGCAATTAATCTCACGTGTAGAGTTTTCTCGCTTATAATAATAATAATAATAATAATAATAATAATAATAATAATAATAATAATAATGTCTTTATTTCTGGCCAGGCACAGGCCGTGAAGCGTACTCTTCCGCCTAACCACTTAAATATTACATTTATATAATTACAATTGAGGCGTTCTGGTACTGGCGTACAATGCTAACTGATATTTCACGTTACTTACGGAAGTGGAATGATCGTATTAGCTAACGGACATGTGCTGCACATAAGTAATGAAACCTAAAGTATGAATGTATTTTTATTATCAATTTTCTGGACTCTGAAACTAACATTATGTAAAGAGAGACCATGTTTCTTATTTACAAGAAAGGCGTGGTAACTCAATAATTTTACATTTACAAAATGTCAGAAATTATCTCCTTTACCAGAATGCCTCAATTGTGATCCAATTTCAAGAGAAAAGGAGGTCCGAATTATATCTGGGATGCAAGACTAGTGCATTCCGACATACGCTTTAAGCGATTGAGTAAAGCCAGGAAAATCTCAATCAGGATGGCGACTTAGGGCCGTAAGAAAATAGAAAGAACAAAGGGAAAGTGTAGAGGAAGAAAGAAAGTAGAGGGAGTTAGAATTAATTACGAAAGTGGGGAAAGTGAGGAGGGGGAAGGGAAGCAATATGAATATAAAGTTTTTCATATTAATAAATATAGTTTTGTAGTCGAACGCAGATAATGGCTGGAGTCTAGACGATAATCTGTAACAAAAAGAGTCAGAAGGCAGAAGATTAACACGATAAATACAACGTAGCCAAAAAATCATACATTACAAAGAGTGAAAATGCGTGAAAATCTTATCTCATATGTAATATATTAGCTTTCGAGAAGACAGGAAGATACGGCGTTAGGGCTTTCAGCGATAGTATGAAGAGGAGAAAAGTACAGAAGAACAGCTTGACGTCATGAAGTACAATAGAATTCAGACAGTAATGATAGTGTAGGTGGTGTTTAATAGGCTGTGAAAATGGGAATAGGAACTTGTATTATCTCTGGTTAATTGCTTTAATCCAATCACTCAGTTGAGTTTTAAATTTTCTGAAATCGCTAATTTGTTTAAATATGTGGGTAGTGAGTTCCTAATTATAGTTACAGTAAATGACTTACTGTAGGATACCGGTGTTGCGCAGAGGAATGCATAGTAATAGCAAGGAACGCGATCGTTCACGCGTCAGCATTTTAAAGTCGAGCAATAAATGCATTTGCCAACTATTATTCAATATTATATGAAGAAGGAGGAGGTAATGTAAAGTTCTCCTTTTTTCGATTGAGAGAAGTTTTGTTTGACCGTAAAACACATATACATGATTGAATCACCTAATATCGAATACGATACGAATGCTTGCATTTTGTGCTATTTGTAATTTCCGTTATTACTCGAGATTTAAATCCGTAAGCAGAAAATCACAATAATCGAAATGAGGCATAATGTGGGCATTTACGAGGCTTATACGGGTGTAATAAACGCATAATTCTCTGATGCTTTTTAAGGACTGGAGATCTGCGAAGACTTTTTGGAAAAAAATGCCTACTTGTATGGTCCAGGTAAGTGGGCTGCCTGTATGTTTTCCGAAGTTCTTTACATCGCTTCACCAGGGAACAGGAGAGTTACCTATGCTAATTTCTGTTAGGGAGGTTTTCTCCAACTTTTTCAAAACTTATCCAGTTCATACTCACCCAGGTTTGACTGAATTTCGAATTTGAGTATCTACGGCAAACGAATAGCGAAAACACAACTAGTACAATAAATTTAAGTGAGCACTTTGAACACCGAGCTCGTTTGCCACGGTTTCGGCGACTCTTGAATCGAAACATTAATACTAGCTGGGAGCCGAAGAAACGAAGAACAGGAAGGAAAAGTAGTAAGAGATGAAAATTATAAAAAGAAACAGGAGAAGACAAATGTGGAGAATAAAAAAGAAGAAAGATGCAATATACAACGAAAGAAAAAGAAGATGAATGTAAAAGAGAAGAAGCATAGGAAAGAGGGGAAAACACAAAGAGAGGAAAGAGAAAAATAAGAAAGAGAAAGAAAGCAAAAAGAAGAAAAATAACGAAACTAGGAAAAAGAAGATAGAAAACGTAAGAGAATAGACAAAGAAGAAGAAAGCTAAAACTGTTGACTTATCCTAGCACTGTGTAGGCTATTCTTAATTCACATAGAGAATCTTGGATTCCGTACATTCTTATTTTTCGCATAAAAAGCCTCGGTACAGCGTGACTTGGGCAGTTAGTTTAATAAATAATATTTGCAGTGAAATTTTCAAGACACCATACATATATTTTGTGGCAATGTGTGGTTTTTGGGGGGGGGGGAGGTGGCATTTTAATACAGAAAGTAAGAAAATTATTTGCCCATAATGACACACCCAATTTGACAATTTATCTCGAGTGCACTAGTCAGACGTGTTGTGGCCTCAGTGTGACTGTAGGGGACTGCTCGGACAGTCAGTTTTCCTGGAGTGAGTTAAGGCAAGCCCTGCGCGAGGGCCCAAGTAGTTCAGTCCCGCAGTCTACGAGTGGTCAGCACTACAGTGTAAGCACTACAAAATAACCTACCATTAATATATATTTTTTTACATCTCTCCAAGAGATCGATCTATTAATTTAATGTGCGAATTTGTTGTAATGAAGTGAATATTGGTGATTTATCAAGGAGATGAGATTTTTAGATTCGGAATGAAAATAATCATGAGGACCAAGTCAGTAATAACAAGAAACTTAGAAGTCCTGAAACAAAGATATTTCAGATTAAAAAACAACAACATGAAATATTGTTAGAACACAAGAAATTATACGCGTACATAATAAATCACAGAAAAAAAGGTGTTGAAAATGTATACATTGCGCAAATATGTACGTAGAAAATGTTCTTTTCATTAGAATATCGTTGCCATTTTCTTGACTCCGACGACACAATTATTGCCAGAGGCCTCAAACTTATTACAAAATAACGTTTCAGTTCTTTCAAATTCAAATTTCTTATATTTTTAACAAAAGTAGGTGTAATATTTTTCTTGATGAGTGATTTACATAAGCTTCTAGATACAATATTTTGTGTATGTCATTGCTTGGCCAGAATTGCAACCTCGTGCGCTGTTCCAGTGGAGTACCCGCGCGCGCGCACACGTCACCGCCCAGCGCAAGGGCACCAGCCGCACCGACCTCAACCACCCAAGTAGTCAGTTCAAATCCCACGAACCTCCCACAAACGAACCACAATAAAACGATAAATATATTCGTAAAATAATGATTGGAGAACTTCTGTTTTTTCGATACGAATTTGCCTATTTAATATAAGAAAAATGTACATGTATATATTAATTATAACAAATAATTGATATATACATAATTATAACAAAATCGTAAGGCTTGTAAATAAAATATATTTTGGTTTCAGGTTGATAGTAATAACGTAGTTAATCATTACAAAACAGATGAATGTTATTTCTTAATTTTTATACATTTTAGTGTGATACTTGTTATTGAGATAGTTTAGTTCTCTGGAAAACTTTCCTTGTTTTATTATTAATTTAACAAAGTGCAAACATTTTCTGCGGAAAGCCAATTTTTTTTTTCGCACACAAACACGGCCCACGGATCATTGGTTAATGACCGCCCGCCCATGCCATCTCATCCAGGCCAGTCGGAAATCAAATCATGGACAGCAAACGACTTCAATATTACAATACATTCACATTGTTATAAACTGAAAGGTAACCTCTAAAGCAAAATATACTGATATTTCGATACACAGTTGTTGTTTTGTTACACAGGGTGCGCAACAAACTGAGCGTTTTATGATGACAATTCATACTTCTTAATTAATCTTCTTTGAGCTTTTACTATCTCTGATAGCTAAAATTACGAAACTGAATTATTGGTGAAAAATCCTATGAAGCATATGAAGATGGATAATGGGTACTTGCACCTTCGAAATCAAATATCTCAGAGGTACAACCCACTACAACAGTAAGTACAATACTGTTAAGAGGTAGAAGATCATTTTGGAGATCATTATCACTGCTCCCTCTCGGTACGCCCGTCCTCTCCTTTCTTCTGCTTCCTAGAAACAATCGACCAACATTCGCGTCAGCTCACCTCGAGAGGCCGTTACCATTTACTACGTTGCCCGCAACTAGTTCGCAGACGGAAAAGGACCCATCTACCCCCTTTACGTGCGACTCTGAAACAGAGTTTTAAACGAGGGCAGTCAAAGAATTCGATTATATACCTAATAACCTTGATGTACGAGATGAGACGTTTATTTTAAATGCCAGCTGTTGCAATATTCGCGAGCCCCACGGCACCGTAATGATGGGCAATATCGGTGACTGGAATATTGCAGGCGGGCGCGACGAATTTGCTTGGTGTGTGAAAAATCAGTGAGTTTGTGGCTCCCGGCAGGATCAAATTCCTAGCATTTGAATAAGAGGTATTGTCTTTACCAATGTTTTTATAAATTTAATGATTAGTTCTCGACGGCATCATTAGATCCGCTGATAAAATAAAAATGCTGAATAAAAATGTGGATAAAGATTAAGGAAACGGAAGAACCCGAAAATCTGCTACAAGCCCCCCCTTCCCCCCTAGAATTTCCAGATGGATCGGACGGGATTTGAAGCCCGGTTGCAGCGGTGGAGGGCGAGCGACCACATCGCTACAGCTCGCGTCGCCCCTCCCCCCTTACGTAAAAGTACTGTAATACGTCGTCAATACCAGGCTTGTGTATCCTCCTTGGGGGCCTCAATGTGCCCTTCCTGCGGGAGACGGCGTCTCGCCGCAGCCTCCCCGGACGCGCTGGATAATGGGCCATCAGCGGCAATAGCCGACACCAATTACGTGCGGCCGCGGAGCAGCCACAGCGGCCTCCGAAAAGCACCCCTTCATTAATTACTCGAAAACGAGCGCCTCCCCCTCTCCCGTCGCCCGCGAAAGGCGAGATCCTCGGGCGAACAATTCGCGCGGGCGGAAAGAGCGCTCCGGAATAAAACATGCCGTAAAACGTACAAGATGTTGCCCGCCAGGCTATCACATTATAGATGCAGACTTGCAGCCCGTGTCTCTCGAGGCGTAACGGAACAAGAAGGTTGAGGAAATATTTACGGGGCATTAAAAATGTAAACGAAACTATTTTTAAGCTGGATTTATTTACGATAATGAATTGTTTATTTAATCAACATTCAATTGGTGTTTTTAATAAACGATTTGACAATAAAACGTTTAAGTTATATTTTTATAATCCTTTCTTCATTACCAAGTACCACGTTTTCTACTAGGAATAGTTTGAATTTAGATTCAGAAACAGCATTAAAATGTTTATTATTATTATTATTATTATTATTATTATTATTGATATTAATTAAAATATTATTAAATAAGTTACAAATCGTTTGAACATTATTTATGGTTAATATTTTTTTTATTCGTACGTTTGCGTGGTGCATGGTTCCTATGAGGAAGATCTAAACCTTCCCCTGAAATGAAACTACCTTACCAACTCCCTGTCATGGTTGCTCTTCTATGTAGCAAAACGGAAGCCATGGAAGAGAGTATTGGCTTCAGAGCATGTACAGGTATATGTATATGAGTATATACATACATACATACTCATGTTCTAAACAAAACATATTCCGCATTGATCTTCAGAGTATTGGCTTCAAACATCATCGACAGGTTCGCCTTCGTTTCGAATCATTATATTGCCTTTCTTTTGATAGTGAATTTTGAATGGTTGGAATGATCACAACATCCTCCATTGTTTTCTGAAGCATTCTGAATGGTTCTTCTCTCGCTGAATGGCGAGATCCGGCTCCGACCTACAAGTCGACTTGCGTGGGAGGGGGGCGGTTCTCAACCACATATCTCCCGGCAGCGGGGCGCCGCCCCAGTCGGGACAAGCTTTAAGCTACCGACATGTGCGGTAGTGCAGGGCATGTATGTGTAGGTATGTGTAACTAAGGGGTGAGGATAGCACAAGGACGAAGACGGAAAGGTCTGTGGCCCGTTTGTTAGGTTACAGCTCCGGCATTCGCTATGTGTTGATCGGAGAAACCGCGAAAAACTTCCGATCAGAGCAGCCAGCCACTATAATACTCTTCCAGACAGTGACTGAATTCGTCCTACCTCTAGTGTCAAAAATCCTGTCGTCGGGGCTCAAACCCAAGGACCTCCTGGTCACAAGCAATGCCTTAACACCAGTTGATGCTCTGAGCCACGTAAGTCTGTTTCTGTGCTTTGAGATGCCCGATAGCGCACACACGGCTAAACTACGTGGAAAGAAGAGAAGGAAGGCGGGTTGTGGGAGTCGTTGACTGTATACGTAGAGCAGTTATTCAAAAAAGGGTCCCAACTGTCACTGTCGCTTGTTTAGATGGTGTCACTGGTGCTCGCATGGCCAATAAGAAATAAATTTATTTTGAGGTACGGGCTTCACAGACACTTATATTTGTCGTTCAAATGTGATGGACGCACGGCAATAAAGTATCGAGGTTCCGTACTTAGGGTTGAGACATGGTGCGAATAAACACGAGAAGCAATGCACAGGAATGCCCACCTTTTTCTTCCTTTATTTCGGTGAGAGTTCCTAAAATGAAATAAAACATGTAACACCAATATGCACATAGAGCTCTGAAAATACACTACCCATGATTCGTACTTTGTTAATACTGTGTAAAGCAAATAAGCTAAAAATTCACCACTCGCTCGCGGAGATGGCGCTGCTGTTGCTCTACACATGACGCATAGTTACTCATACAGCTTGCGGCGTTTTCTTAGTAACGAGAGCGGACTTCCTCCTACTAACACAAAAGTGCCATATGTAAATTTTGTAATGCATTAATAACGAAAAATAAATGTAAGGCGTATAATGATTACGTCAATTTTTTACCCTAACATCCATAGTATCATCCGCATGCACAAGATCTTTTACGTATCTTATTGCAGCTTCGGACCCGATTCAGCCTACTCAAATTAACTATGCGTTAAGCTACGAACATTTTATGTTTCCTTAAAGCATAAATTCCAAACCAGAGACTGTTTATTTAGGGTCGTTTCCCATGTGTTGTCCCAATTGCGCAGCCACCTCGCCGCCGTGTTTCCTTCCCGTTGCGCATAGCAATGAGGAAGTTGGATGATTTCTATTCACGTGGAGAAAAGAGGAGAGTACGAGCCATACAAGAGCAAGTAGCGCGAAGACCTCGAACATGTCCTTGAGCTTGCTAAATTTATTGCCCCTAGTATACCCTTCAAAGTTTGCTGACACTACTTGAAGAAAACGAACATGTGGCTTTCCAAAGTAATATGATGATTGAGACTTAGATAAGCATATGGAATTCTGGTAGTTTGCCCCTACATAATCGTACGGAAGAAAGCAAACACACCCTACAAGAAGCTTACAACCACAGAGAAGTTTGGATGCTGCCGAATCTTCCTGCACATTTCAGGCCTTAACTGATGTGTCCGAACAACTACAATCCAAGGTTCTTCTTATGAGATTTCTAATCGTTCAAGCTGATGACAAAGTCTTACAATACAGCAATTAGTTAACATTACACTTCTTCTATTCATACATTTATGGTACATGAAACTACATTACTGTCTAGGACTAATTTCAATAATTATTTCAGTTTCTTCTACTGACGAGTTACGGGCTAAATCGAGACCTAGTCACACACAAAGATTAAGTTGTGGCCTCACTACATACACTATATCAAATTCACTCGAAGATTGAATTGCTTTCAATTCTTGCGTGTAAATTATTAAGTCACTCGTCTTTTTCTTCACAATACCATAATTCTTGTGGATCTTTTCGTTCTTCTCTGATTTTTTTAACATGTCCTACAAAAGAATCATTTATCATAGATATTTTCTTACAATTATTTTTAAATGTAAATTTTTAAATACATTGTTTTAATGTCAACAAATATTTTGCCCCGAAAAATTCATCTTTTTCATTACAAATAGTTTTAGCAGTGACATGAAAATTACTGTTTTGAACTATCCGTAACACGAAATGCTGAATGATAATTGAAAACAGGATAAATATGCGGTAATGCTGTAACACTGCACTAGTCTTCCTCATTAAGGCGTATACTTGTTAATTAACATGAAAAATACGAAGGTTGGAAATGAGATGACATCATAACCAAGACACGCTAAAATGCACTTGAAAATCTCATTCATTGTGGAGACCTTTGTTTCTTTCAACTAGGCACAATTATGAATCTAGTGTTCTCGCGGTTTCGAAAGAATGGGTCGCGAAATTACGTGGGTGTTCCGCGAAGACAAATAATGAAGAAAATATGACAACATGAAAAAGGTCCAGTGCATTAAATACTTTAGTACAGTAATTTATTAACGTGTGGGCGAAAGACTACTCAATAGTGTAACAATCTAATTAAAATTATTCTATAACATATGATTTTGCATCCGAGCATTTCAAGTCCTAATGTAGGCAGGTTTGGTTCTATTCTACGGGAGTCTCACAATCCTCTCCGTAACGAATAAGAGTGCCGCGAACCAAAAAAGTTTGAGACAAAGTTCTGTCTAGAGTCTAGCCTAAAAGTTGCAGTCAAAACGCTCGATACCTTCCTTGGATACTTACTAAATGAAAGTGTCATTCCGAATTCGAATCATTCAGCACTGCGAATTATTGATCACACTAATGATAGTCCAAGGGTCACGCGACGTGCGCATCACAAATGCAGCGCCCTCTTACGCAAGGTGTCGATATGCGACGTTTGTCGCTCGATGAAAAAGTGACCTCCAACGCGTCAAACGGTCTTCTTGCCGGCCGCAATGCCTGTTATCGTCGCCTAACGAATTTCCTCCTATTCCAAATATTACGCTGGTGATTATTAAAACGAAATGCTTACAACTCAATATTATTTGTCGTACAGAATTAATGTAGATCTATTATATAAACGTCATCTTCATAACCACGCTGCCTAGTTATGCATTTCCTTAGCAGCAAATTCAACAACATTTTCCTGGACCTAAAATTACAATACGACGGAGTTTAAGCCAATGAAAGCAACACAAGTTTAATAAACCAGTAATGCTTCAATAGCACGCACTTTCTTGCATTAGAAACGGTTACATAATATAAGAGTACGGGAGTTACGTAGTACATCTCAGCAATTACTAGAATAACTCACTACGAATCGTAACGCATCAGTACCGAAAATCAATTATTTTGAGAATAATACAGCAACACATATTCGACAATCCAAAACTACCATCCATTACCCAGAAACATTGTCTAACAATGAGAAAATATTTTGAGAATTTCGAACTGCTATATTGGGGCTTGACATAACATCTGGGGCCTCCTCGTCAAAAAATGCGCAGAACATCCGAATTTTGCAAACATTATTATTGCCGGGCCGTCGTAACGAAAAATTGGACACATTTCGACCCAATATGTAGTAAAATTCTTTCTCTAAAACGTTGTGTAGTCACGTTTTGAGGGTCATCGATACAGAACAATCGACGGTAAAATCTGTCTGGGACATTTTCGAAATTTAAGAAAAAGGGTCAAATGATGAAATTAAAATTTGTCTTCGGGTAGCGTAAAGAATGCTTAAGAGAATGGTGAAGGTCTCATTTTTGTTGAAACCCCCTGATTTTTCGAAAATTGCAATATTCATTTTCTTCGGAGTCTTCCTACAACTATAATTACAGGGATAATATTATTTGTCTTAATGAATGTTTTCATCAGAAGCACATCTTCAAATAAGGTCAAATTCAAGCTTTCGAAAATATGAGTATTCCTTGCATAATTTTGCGTGAAGCAACTTTTAAATTTTAAACAATTATTTTGTCAAAAACGGCCCAAATATTGTCTTCAACTTTTACACATATGTAGCAAAGAACGGTAAAGAATATGGTTCGTACCCCATTTAATTTAGAAATTCCAGGGCTTTGTTTAATGCGCTGTCAGTTCGCCTAATAACAAACCCGGCGGTTCGTTTTTCTTAGGATTTTTGTCATTGT